GTGTTTGCCTCTTGTCTTGTCTGTCAGCTCTGTGTTTGTCTTTGTTTGCGCATTCCTCGAGCTGTGTCTTTGTTTCTATGGCTATCTCTCTTCATGATGATGATGGGGATAACGATGATGACGATGATGATGAAAATAATGAAAACAACATCACTATTAATAATATACAAACAATGACAGAATTTGATATCAAATGATATCACTCATAGCAATACCATCAATAAAATAATAAACAAAACATCAGCGAAAAAGATATATATATATGTACAAATAATAATGAAATACTTCTAGCTAAATAACTAGACAAACAGATTACCTGAAACAAATACATATAAGATACAACCCATATATTTAATCCCCCACTTTATTAAGAACAGCCAGAGCGCCAACAATTTCCCCAGATGTATTAAACGCTAATGCTGAGATTAGCATATTCCAGACACAAATATCCGAAACTCCACTCGGTCGCGCATTCATAATGAGCACAGTATGAAAAGTGGAAACATGGATAATCAACACGTATGAATCGATAATTATAATATCAGAGTTGAAATCATTGATTTTTATTGTATTCGCGGGGTACTGATTCAAAGAAAAACGTATCCGACTTTTGGCTTTTCTTTTTCTTTCTTTTTTTTTGAAAGTTTAAAGGTGGTTAGAGAGTAACTTGGCGAAGAGGTAAATACAATAACACACACTATATGTATCGGACAAAGACCCTACTTCACCCACCAATAACGAAGCTCTGGCTGTAGTCGTATGTAGTAGGTGAAAGGACTTTGACGATACTACGTCCTTTATCCATTATCCATTACCGCTAACAGTGTACAGGGCGACAAGTGTGGAAGAAGTAGGATTGAGCTTTCAGATCTTCGCAGCGCAATGAATGAGAATGAATATCTTCACAGTTCAAGGGGTGCCTTTGATGAGTTTCCTTTGTGTCTTCGTCAGAAAGACCACCAGAAATGTATTTCTAATGAAGGGATAGTTCGAAACGCCTGAAATCCATCTCTTGCGCTGTGAAGGTATTCAATTTCATTCATACCTTTTCCTACATGAAAGGTAACGTCTGCAACTGTGGAAACTCTTCGTGGCCGGAGTCGATAACTAACGCGCGCAAGAGGTCCCGGGCTAACCAGACGATAACAAATAGAATGAAAATTGCGCTTCTTAAAATGAGTAAAGCATACTTCCTTCCTCCCGCTTGGCTCAGCTCAGGCCTTCCCACACTCTGAAATGTTTCCGATTTTTCCTTTCCTTTTTTTTTGAACGATGATGATTTGCTCTGTTGTTTTGTTATGTTTCTCTTCATCAACGAGACTCAAATGACCAAGAAGGACTATTACCCAGGAGGTCTTCGTCACCCTCGCCGGTTGCAATGTGAGGCGCGTCGATCTTTCGCCTCCATATTGGCAACGATCAGTGCAGAAAGGGATAAGATTGAAACGCAACAAGACATTTATTCCAGGACGAAAAAAAAAAGAAATCTAAACTAAAACCAAACAAAACAAAGTAGATCACATCAAATTAAAATAAAAATGAAAAGAATAAAGAAATTCTTCCATTAAGGGGAAGACCGCTGGCCTATGGTGCAGAGAGCCATAGTTTAAGGGGAATTCAAGTTTCCTCAGTATAACAAATGCGGTTTTCATTTCATAGCCCGCGATCGGATATTTAATCGTTAAATCTCTTTGTGTATGTAGATTATGCTCAATAACGATTTCCCTCAGTCGAAATTGTAATATTTGCGATATTACAGAACCCATTCTAACAGAACGCCACACAGCAATGATTTGCCATTAAAACACTATAGGTAAAGATGATATTATTAGTTTTCATAATCATTTGTCTTTGTTTTTTATCTATATAAATTTCTATATCACTTAACTAATTTCCTAATGAAACGGTTTCTTTATGTAAAACTGTTTTTTTTTTTTTTTTTTTGTTTAGAAAAAAATATTATTCTAATTCCATAAAGATTTACTACGCTTGTGTTATGTATTAGATGATGATAATGTAGTTATTAAACGATTAACAAACGACTGTTGATTAACAATTTGAACAATATATCTAATGCTCTGCGAACCGGAAAGAAAAAAAATGTGCACAGGTAGAAAGGTGATTAGTTCAGATTAAATGGCATTTATAATCATACTGATGTTGGCCGTAATAGTGATGATGAGGGGGATGGTGTAGATTACTGTGGTGGTGTGGGCGGTGATGATGGAGATTGTGCTGGAGGTGATGGTGATGGTGATGATGGTGGTGATGGTGATGGCGGTTGTGGTGATGGTGATAGTGATGGTAATAGTGATAATGATGGCGATGATGATATGATGACGATGGCGAAAACGATGACGATCAGGACGATGGCGATTCACAACAAAAAATACCAATAACAAAGATAGCTGCAATACTGCCCATAACCCCAACGCCAAAGCTATTAACGACCAACCCAAACCCACCTTTTGAAAACACCCAAACGGACGGAAAACCTTAC